ACCCTAGTTAAGAACCTAGGTCAATGCATTCCCCTTGCCCATTTCATATGACATCTAGGTAAGAAAATAAACCAAGGTAGGAGAAACCCTAACTCTTGGAGCGTGAGATGAAGATAGAAAGCTTCTAGGCACCTTCTTAGCCCCAAAACCTTTAACTTCCCCAAATCTCCCCGTTTAGATCTTCGATGAAATTCGTCATTCTTGGTACGTACCCGTAGCTCTCATTGCGTAGATGAACTTTAACTCTTGGATCAAGCAATTCCGACCAACGGAGCTCCTTGGATCACAAAAGAAAGGTAGAAAAATTTGGATTTCTCTTTTCTCTCTCTCTTCTCTCTTCAACGTCTGATACAGTCGGCTAAGTAATATCTGATTTTTTAGATATTTTGCCCTATTTATACTTTTTAATTGGCGGTCCACATCGCCCTGCTCGTTTATCACTTCCGATTCCGTTTTGAACACGAAATGACTTAATTAAATTTTGATTTTAGTTCAAATTAATTTTATTTAAACTTTTACTCAATTGTAAGGAAATTTTATAATTTTTATTTTTGGGAATCTTTAAAAGTTCATTCGTCACTCAATCGTCTCGAAAAATGTGTAAAATTCGACTATCTCTGAATTCGATAAAATTTGACATAGCAGCTCAATTTGTGATACGAATCTAATGGTGAAGTTCGTTGTTTCATCCGAGCTCTATAGAAATGTGCATTTTAATCCCGCATAATAGCGGCAAATTACTATTTTGCCCTTTATCGGAAAAAGTTCAAATTTCCTCGGGTTTCACAAACTAGGTAGCCAAGTCTTGCACCCGAGGGAGAGTGTAGCTCTACTTGCTATACCCAACACAAGTTTTTCATGCAACCGTGCGACTCAGTCAGATTTTCAATCCAACTTTTCAGAGCACAACCATCAACCACAAAGTATGGTGTTTGACTAAACCATGCACACATCCATACTCACACCCATGTCTCATGCCCATGGTTGTGATGCTTCCGTGCAAATGTAATGTGATGCACCATTGCAATATCAATGTCATGCCCCATATGTAATGAATGTCATATAAACAAATTTAACCACATAAATACATGTTCCATGACCAATTATATCATATGCATATAATCACCAAACTTCATCACAATGTTAATATATCAATAAACATATATCAACATTTCATATCTAACAACAATTCACAAGCATGTTATCACACAATATATGCCAATAACATGCTTCATTCACCAAGGCATAATTTAAACATATAGCATGCTCATAAATACCAATTTCCATGAAATTTCACAAGTAATTACCACATTTCAATTCCAAGTTAGGAATTTATTCTAAACCATTTCTAATGCCCATTTATATCAATGTCACAAAAATTCGTACGTGATATATAATTCTATCAACCTACCTATTACATATAACATCCTAGGTTAGAAAATAAACCTAAGTAAGAGGGAACCCTACCTCTTGAAGCATAAATCACTTGGTAGAAGCCTTCAAGAATCTCAATCTCTCCCAAAACCCTTGATTTCTCCAAGCTCATTTTTGGAACTTTGGTGAAATCCATCCTTCTTGGTATGGTTTTGTAGCCCTCGCCGCATAGAGCAATCTTTGTTCTTGGCTTGAGTTGATTCGATCACTCAATCTTTATAGATCGTAAAGAGAAGGTGAGAACTCTCTCTTTTTCCCTCTCTTCTCTTCTCACATTGAAATTGACTGATCAAAATGGGGGAGAAATTAGATTTTTTCCATATTTATAGCCTTAGAATACTTGGTCCACAACGCACCACACGACCCTCTTTTTCCCGGGTCTGTTTTCGCTCCAAAATAATTAAATTTTGTCTCGGTTCAAGTTTAAAATATTTTTTTTAATTTAAATTAAATTAATTTTTGAATTTTAAAATTTTATTAAAAATTTCATTTTTGGGTCATCCGAGACTCGACCGTCTTGTAAAATGAGAAAAATTCGACTATCTCGAAATTTGATAAAATTTGACAGGGTAGCTGAATTTTACAAGACGAATCTAACGGTGAGGTCCATTTCATCATCCGAGGTTTAGAAAAATTCAGATTTTTATCCCGTATTGTAGGGACAAATTACTGTTTTGTCATTTTTGTAAAAAGTTTAAATTTACCCGGGTTTTACATTTGCTGCACAATCCACACAGAAGGTGGGTTTATCTAACATATGTAATTTAGAACATACGGGATGGTATATTATATGGCCTGCAAAATGACATCTGATAGTTGGTTTGTATAGAAACGATGTTTTTTTTTAATAATAGTATTTTTTTTCTAACCTAGAGATTCATATGAGTTCAACTGGGCTCTTAGTAACAAGCTACTCTTTATCTTCCACTTCTATTAGAATTATTGACATGATGTTCATGTCCAAGTTCTGCAACATTATTGGATGTGCTTCTCCTTTTTCTCACTCTTCAATGTACACCGCTCTTTCTTTTTGCGTTGCTCGAGCATATTTGGCATACTGAGAAATTTTGCTTGTTTCTATAATTTTTTTTGATTATGTTAGAAATTCTAACATTTTATAAGGATATTAGAATAAATACATATAATTTCTCAAAACTAATTAATAGGAACAAACCTTGGGTTGATGACAATTTTTTGAAATTTTATTGTCTTTCACTATTTGAATGAACAACTTCATTTGGAATTGCGAAATTGTGCCAACAAACAACTAAGTGTTTGATGGAACAATGATTAGGTAATGTATGCGATTCCGGAAGAAAGACAACAAACAAATAACTACATAACATTATTATGAACTTATAATAACTAAGCAAAGGGAAAAACTAAAAACCCAAAAAAAAAATATGTTTGGAAAAGAAAAAAGGAAATAATGTCATGGAAAATGATGGAAAACTATTGCAAGTAGATATGCTTAAAAACTTAATGGTGAGTTTTTCTCCTAAAGCAGTAGATAATCTATTTAGGAAGTCTTCCAATAAAAAAACTAATATCAAATTAACATGGAGATCTCATAGTAATAACATCTTATGAAAATAAACAAATAAATAATATCAATTAGAATCCATAAAGTGGTGCAAAGATTTTGTTTCAATTTTTGTATCAAAGTTTTGTCAAGTTATGTTAACCCACTGCTTGTTTAAGCATGGTTTTGATGATGATCAAACTTCTACACTATAATCTAATGTGTAAATTAGATGTGTAGTTTAATTATATGAAAAATGTGCAAGAAAGGGAATGAAGAACCAAAGATAGATGACAGAGAAAATGAAGGATGGTTAAAGCGGCAGGCGTCTCAAGGTCCATGTACTTTGCCATGAACATTGATCTGGAAGGCTCTATCAAGGTCCGGTATGACGGATATTGAAGTGACAGGGATATCAACACACATCAAATGCTGATTTGGTATGCCGGATGGGGAACCGGCATACCAGTTTGTGTCCATTAAGCAATGCAATGGCTTCTTTTTGACAAATATTCAAAATATTTTGGCTTCCAAATATAAATAGGGGTCTTCAATGCTTTGGGGAGAAATTTTCTCACCTTGTATTTATGAGCATGAAGCTTGACTGATTTATTGAATTGTAAAGAGATTTTAAAGTATTGAGTTTCTTCTTCTTGCTTCTATTCTTGATTTAAGAGAGAATCTTTGTAAAACAAGATAGAGGATTGATTTTTGTCTTCTTGAGTAACATACTTTAGTGATGAATATCATCTTTTACTCAAGGAAGAGAAGTGTAATGGTTTTGATCTCACCCATTGAAGAGTTCAAGTGAAAAAGAAAAATGAAACCTCCAAGGGGAGATGGAAGAGAGGACGTAGGCCAAGAGTTGGGGGCTGAGCCTCTATACATCTTTGTGTTTGTATTCTCCTTACCTCTTTACTTTGATTTGTGTTTATTGCTTATACACACACCATCATTGTCTTACTATCTAACTAACATCTAGTAATCCATATTTATCAATTTCACAAATAATGAAATTGAGATTTTAAATTGGGCAATAACTTAAATCCTAATGCACCCCACCTCTTTGGTTGCTTTTCGGTTCAACAATTGATCAGAGTATGGGATCTAAGATTCTTATGTAACTACAATTAGAGTTAAAAGATCATGGAAATACTAGAAGGAAATATTATAGAGGGTCAATCCATTACTAGATCTCCATTCTTTATTGGAAATGACTATCCCTATTGGAAAGCTAGGATGAAAATTTGTATCATGTCACAAGATGATGGGTTATGGGATATTATTGAAGATGGATACACAAAACCCACCTCGGAGAAAAAGTATTGTACTAGTGATCAAAAGAACACTCACACTAAATGCTAAGGCTATGAATACCTTATATTGTGCATTAGATAGAGGAGAATTTAATAGAATATCCACATGTGAGGCCGCTAGACAATTATAGCATATGTTAGAGGTCACACATGAGGGAACCAATAGAGTTAAGGAATCAAAGATTAATATACTTGTGCATGAATATGAATTTTTTAGGATGGAAACCCAAGAAAGCATATCACAAATGTTTACACATTTTACTAATGTGAATGCTCTTAAATCTCTTAGTAAATTTTATGCTGATGAAGAACTTGTGAAAAAAATTCTTAGGTGTCTTCCAAGATCTTAGGATGCCAAAGTCACCGCTATCATTGAAGCCAAAGACCTCGAGGCTCTTCCACTAGAAGAATTACTTGGATCTTTCATGACATATGAGATGAATATAAAAAGGGATGAAGAGCTAGAAAAGAAAGAAAAGAAGAATATTGCTTTCAAGTCCACCAAGACAAGTAATGAGGATAATGATGAAGAAGGGGAAGAAAGTGATGAAGAACTTCCTTTCATCGCAAGGAGATTCAAAAAGTTGCTTAAGAATCAAGGTCCCTACAAGAGAAGAGAAAACTCAAGAAGAAATAGTGTAATTTGTTATGAATTCAACAAACAGGGTCATATCAAGTAAAATTTTCCTACTTTGAAGAAGACATACAACAAGGATAAGAAGGTGGCAATGAAGGCCACTTGGAATGATAGTGATAGTGACTCCGATCATGAGGAGACCAAAGAAGTAGCAAACCATTGTTTCATGGCATTAGAGGAAGATAATGACGTAAACTCTATGTCATGTGATGAAAATGAATATTTATTAGATGAAATTTATGATGGCATGCATGAACTACATAATGATTTACTCACTATTATAAAGGAATATAAAGATCTCAAGAACAATCTTGTTGGTGTTTCTAAAGAGAATGACACTTTGAAAATTGAGAATGAAAAACTCAAGGTTCAAAATTCCACGTTGAAAAAGGAATATCAAGACTCCTCCTTACTTAACAAACTTAAGGAAGAGATAATGGATTTGAAAAAGAAAATTTGTGACTTGAACAAAGTAGTTTCAAATTTCACTCAAGGAAGGGAAAAATTGAAAAACTTTTGTCAAGCCAAAGATGTGTGTTTGAGAAAGCCGGATTGGGTTTTAACAATCATTCAAACCAAAAGACCTACAATAATTTCTTTGTTAAAGAATCCAAATCAAATTATGTTGCCAAGACATGCTATTATTGTCATAAAATAGGACATTTTGCATATAATTGCTATGTTAGGAGAGCATAACAAAATAGGGCCATGTATAAGGCTTTCACTAACTATAATGGACCCAAGACTAAGTGGGTATCAAAAGCCAATCCTTTATTATGCTGTGTAGGTGTGTTTCAAATCCATTCACAAGACTAACAAGTGGTTTCTTGACAGTGAATGCTCAAGACATATGATGGGAGATAAATCAAAGTTTGCACAACTATCAAAAGAGGATGGTAGATATGTAACATTCAGAGACAATGCCAAAGGAAAAATCACATGTATTGGAAATTTGGGTAAGATATCTTCACTCCAAATTGAAAATGTCTTGTTGGTGAACGATGTGAAACATAACTCGTTTTGCATAAGTCAATTATGTGATAGAGGCTATAGGGTTACCTTTGAAGTTAATACTTGCAAAGTAGAAAACATAGTAGAAATTAGGACATTGTAGTATGGATACACTTTTCAAACTTGTTAGAAAAGACCTTATAGAAGAATTGGCCAAAATCAAGTTTGAAAAGGACAAAGTTTATCAACCATGTCAACTAGGAAAGCAATGCAAGAGCACATTTAAGCCCAAAAACTTCATTTCCAAAACAAGGCCACTGGAACTCATTCACATAGATTTATTTGGTCCATCTAATGTGATTATTTTAAGTGGTAAAAGTTATGCATTTGTCATAGTTGACGACTACTCTAGGTACACATGAGTTTTTTGTCTTAGACATAAGGATGATGCTATAGAGATATTTAAAAATTATTGTAAGAGAGCTGAAAATGAAAAGGGATACTTGATCACTCATTTTGGAAATGATCATGGTGGAGAATTTGACCAACATAAGTTTAAGAATTTTTGTCTTTATAAAAGTTATGGACATGAATTCTTGGCTCCTAGAACACCACCCTAAAATGGTGTAGGAGAAAGAAAGAATAGGACCATCATAAAAATGAGTAGAACCATGCTTCATGAATATGGCCTAACCAAAGTATTTTTGGGGTGAACTGTAAATTGTTCTTGTTACATCCTTAATAAAGATTTAATTAGACCAATTATCAAGAAAACTCCTTATGAGTTATGAAGCAATAGAAAGCCAAACATTGGGTATTTCAAGGTATTTGGATGTTAGTGATTCAAATTAAATACAAAAGACCACTTTCCTAAGTTTGATGCAAAATTGGATGAGACTATATTCCTAGGTTATGCCACTCATAGCAAAACCTATAGAGTCTTTAACAAAAGAAATCTTGTAGTTGAAAATTCCATGCATCTAGTATTTGATGAGTAACACCATTTAACTATTAGAAATAAAAATGAAGATAACAAGGAGTTGGACTTAAAATTTCTATAACGCCCCAAAAATGCACCCTGGGAGGCATTAATATCTATAACCATTCATATAATGAGAGCTACTAATAAAATCCATAAATAAATGAATTTTCATTCATCATCCATAATAATTAAAACATCATCCGTAATAATTTAAATATCATCCAAATAATTATGCCAAACTATGGAGATTACATCCCATAAAAAATTCAACTATTATCTTGCAATGGAATAAAGAAAATATTTGCCTTAACAGTACCTCAAAATGTGCCCCCCCCCCCCCCAAATCTAGAACATAAGGGAAGTAGCTCTAAACATCCACCTCGGGATCCCTGTTCCCATCAATCTGGGTTTCCCAATCCACTTGCTCATCAACTCTGAGCTCTTCCTCTAAACCATAATCTAAAAAAGATATTACTTGTAGGGGGTGAACACTAAGCTCTGTAGGAAAATCCTTCCAAGTTCGAACAAGGTTTTGAAAACATATAAAACAAGTTAAAGTTAAAATAGTGACAGTTTATTCTATCTCTTGTATCTTAGGTAGGAAGTAAGACTTCACATGAATACACACATTGAGAATATCCTGGCCCACATACACACACTCATTCCTGTCAAGGATACACAACTTTAGGAAAGGCGTATACCGACGCATCGGTAGTGACGAATCCAACCCTGGAATAGTATACTAACCCTCAGCCTTGATACCACATGAGCAAATAGTGGTTTGGTCTTTGCAAGGCACCAACCCCACTACGAATAGTAGGGAACCTTCAAACCCACTTAGAGTAAGAAACGCATCCACAAGTAAATCAAGAACCCCAAATTCCAAATGTATTTTTCCAACATAAGAACTCAAGAAAATAAGCAAGGGATCATCAAAGCATATAATTTTATTGTTCCAACAAAAGCACTAGAGTTTTTGGATCAAGAACAATGGAATATCAAGGGAAAAATCTCTATTCCTTGAAAAATAAGGGTTTTGAGATCAAAAATAAGGATTTTATGGCAATCAAACCATAGCCTCAATACACAAGATTATGAAGAACCCCTGCATTGGTTCCTTAGTGTTGCATGAAAAACTAGAGGTTTTGATCCAATCCAATGCAAAAATCCCCTTCAATCTTGTGTTTCTCCCCTTCTTTCTTACTCTCCAAGGCTCTCTAGTTGTTAGAATTCATGAAATGGGGCTAATGGAGGTGTCCTTAGGTATTTATAGTGTAAAAATTGGAGAGAACACCCCAAAACAGGTCTGGGACGTGAAACCCCCGGTTTGGTGTGTCCAGACACGTGTTTTTTTACTGTCCAGTCACTTGTTTCTTCGTCCAACTTTATGCCAAACTCGTCCGGACTCGGGGGACAGTATATCCTCAACTTCCAGATTGATTTTGACCTATTTATAAGCTGATTCAGAAATTTTTTGTGAAATACACTTTTGTAGCCCTTGAAGTCTAGTTTCTACTCTCTAAAAAACAAATCAATAGGATATAGGAGTAAAATGTTTTGGCCAAATACTAACATTGTGTCAAATTCCTTCCTACCTGAATTCTTTATAAAATATGTTTAAACTCCAGGATACTTGTATTAATAAACATGTATTAATTCTGCAATTGCATTTAGCACATGCAACAAGCTTTTAAACCCCTAGGTGATCCCTAGTGGACGAGTTTTGTCTTGTGAAGGTACCTACAAACTTATTTTCCTAGTATTCAATATTTAAAGCATATTCCCTTATCCTAACTAGTACAGGGATGTCAAAATAGCTTGCTCACACACCCGAACCAATCACACATGAGACACATCATAGCCTTAAATGCTATTCAATAGTATCCACATACACATTTCCTTTCAAAACTCGTGTGTGTGTGAAATGAATATGTAATTTAAACATTTACTCAACGGAATCCACATTCACTTAGCTATCCAAATTCAGCTTTGATGCAAAAACTCACCAAGGGTTTCTTTCAACAATGAATCGCACTATGATTATCCTAGCATGTTCTCCATGTGTATATGTGAGACAGAATATTATGCACAAATCGAAGTATGCTCACATATAATCCAAAAATGAAGTATGCATAAAAATGAAACAACCTTGGCATAATCTCATAAAAGGAATGGTAGGGCATTAGATAACTTCTCTTTTTTCTTTAAAAGTATGCATCCCCCATGCTTCTCTAGATCATTTAGGACTTCATGGGTTGTAATGAGGCCTTGGGGTGATATTAGGCAAAAGAAGCAAAGGATATAGGATAACAAAGAGGTTTGTTCCAAGTGAATGACCTTTATTTCAAAAAGATCTCCCTTTTTATGGGATGTCCAGGCTAATCACCACCACTTCACTCTTTGTTTTTTTTTCTTCTTTCCCTTAACATTTTCCTTTTCTTTTTCTCTTCTTTTTTTTTCTTTTTCACTCCCTTTTTCTCCTTTTCTTGGATTTTCATTCTTTTTCCATTCAACTCTTTGAGTTTCAACATCATTCATCCCTTTTGTTTGAGTTTCCACACCATACTTCATTTCTCTTTTATAATCACTCAAATTTAGCTCTAGGAACAACCAAGGTAAGGTAGGTATCTATAATTTTCACTGGCTTGGTCAAAATATGTGGCATAGAACCGAATTCAATTAAGGTTCATTCATGGCACTAGGGATAAATTTTTCCAAGAAAATGGCTAAGGCTCAAAGCATTTCAAAGATGGCCCAAGATCATTTCTAGGTAGGCATGGGAGAGCACATTGCATTTCAAGACAAAGTCAATCAACTACCCAAATGCACCTAACCAAAACAAGCATAATGAGATTATTAAAAAAAATTGAATTTGAAAAATTGTTTCTTGAGTAAATGTAACTTCCCTCCAAACAAGGATTGACATTAAAGCTCACATGGGTTCTTACTCATCTCCACTATTCATGTCAAGAATTAAATCTGAACTCAATTCATAAATTGAAAAAAATTACAAGTTCATGTGCACTTATGGTTGAGTTCAAAAGCAAACAACTATGTGATACTTTTAACAATAGGATAAACTTCGACAATGTGCTCATGTATTCAAAGTTCAAAATAAAGTTCAAGTAATCGCAAATCCCATAACAATTAGGATAGGGGAATATGGTTCAATATTGGATATTTTCAAATTTTCAAAATTTTTACATTTTTGACTATTATGTTCAAAAAGTTGTGGAAAATGTAAATGGTGCACCTCACCCGCCAACTTGAACTATGCATTGTCCTCAATACACAAGGAATCATGCAATGAGAAAAATGAAAGTGACATAAGAATTAAGATACCCCCTTTTTCTTTTTCTTTTTTCTTTTTTTTTTCATACACATTAAAGGAAAAACAAAAATATTTGATTACACCCCCCAAACTTAAACTCGCA